CTGCAGCGCTCCCTTGTTCTGCTGCTGAGCTCAACAGTCTTCATTTTAAGTGAAGCGCTTGAAATCTTTCTGGTTTTCAGATTGCAGACCCTCTGGGTAAAGCACGGTTTGCAGCCTGAGCCCAGAGAAATATCTACCCAAATTAATGATGGTTTTCATCTTCTTGGGAGTGAAGGCAGAATCACTGGCTGAGCTGTGGCTCAGAGCAGCCCAGTACTCACTAGGCAGTAACTCTACATTTCTATGATGTTGAATCCTCTAAAAAGCCCTGCTGTCATGTCTTAGCTCCTGCCAGTTTTCCATCCAGATCATAACACCTTTTGTGGACTGCCTGTCCTTTGAATTAGCCCTTTAAATAGTTTATTTCAGTATGGTCTCAGTTTACCTGGCTGAGCAGCAGTGAGCAGAGCAGAAGGGCTGCCATCACTTTCCACCAGTGCATCTTCCTAGCGGGAGCTGTCCCTTGGAGCAGCCGTGGGCAGAGGAGGCACAAAGAGCTCCAGTCAGGACTCCCCAGGCTGTCAGCTACATTTTTATAGACTTCATTCTCTTATCGTTGCATCAGCTGCCCGTTATTACAGGAGCAAAGTTCGCTTTGGAGCAAGAGGGAATTGCTAAGTCTACATCTGCTGCAGTGATCTGGTTCAAGGCCTGACTCGAGCTAATGATTTACTCCCCTTCCACTTGTACTTTGTCTGGTCAGTTGTGCTGACCCCTTGTGCCAGCTGTTCCTTTTTTTAAAGCCCTCCTAAGATGTTACCAGAACTCCATGGTCTATTTGTAAGCAAAAGGGGGGGTGGCCCAAATTATTGTGGTCAGGATCAAAAGCCTAATTTAACTTCTGTAGCTCTGAGTTGGCCAACCAGGGGTAAGGGTTGTCTTGCCAAGCTGATTTGGAGCAGAGAATTGTGCATTTGTTTCTCACTGTTGGTACATGAAAGAACCATAAGGAAGTTGCTTGACCTTTATTTCCAGGCACACAGTGCTCAAAAAGCAGGTGTAACATTTTCCAGTTGGGCTTGGGAATGCAAAATGTGTGATAACTCACAGAGCTCTTCCCCCAGGAATCCCAAGGTGTCAGAGATAATCATCTCTGGGTAGATAATGGAAGAGGCTGCTCAGGGCTTGTCTGGAGCTGAGGAGCTCCATGTGCAGACTGTGGTTTCATTGATGAGCCATCTCTGCCTCCAGCTGTGTCACTCACCATCAGGCTTCCAAAAGTGCCAGCAGCTCCCATGGGGGTGGAGGGGCTCATTGGCATGGAGAGGAAAAGTCAGTTTTTCCATTGTGGAGTGAGGTTGCAGCAGCAGAGACAGGAGTGAGCACAGCTGGTACCTCTCATCTCCTCTCCCCTCTGCCTACACACTTGTGCTTGTCCCAGTGTCTCGTGGCTCCTCACCTGTGGGATCTTGTGCACCTTGCTGGATGGGGCTTGGAGCAGCCTGGGCTGGTGAAGGTGGGGAAACTGCAAGAGCTTTAACCCAAAGCACGCTCTGGTTCTGTCTGGCACCCACGTCTGTCAGGTCAAGACATCTGAGGTTGCAGAGTGATGTAGAGAATTCCAGCCTGTGTCACTGTGTGCAGGTTTTGGAACGCACTGTTTGAATTCAAGGAAATATGATTACTTTATTAAATTACTATATAATTACTAAATTACTTTATAAAGTAGTAAGTGTATAATGAACTGTTTTAGCTAAATTGTAAATACAGATCTGGATGTCACAGGCTCTGTTTCTCTGATTGCTTAATGTGAAGCACAAGTGCCAGCGTGGAGGGCAAGTGACTTAGATTAAGATAATGCAGCGATGTCAGATGATTTCCCCTTAGCCCAAATTTCCCTGGGATGAAAAGAAAAACCTTCCCAGCACAGTGTACAACACTATTTGATCATTCCCATCACAGGATGGTTCTTACACACCTTCCTCTGCCCTACTTGTTTTGCTTCTCTGGGAGAAGGAAGCAAAATTTTCCTTATTTCACCTTCTTGGATCTTAAGAAGGGAAGGAAATGGGACAGTAAATCATGGCAGACAAGTAGCTGAATGTAAAAAGTTTATTTTATATTTGGGTGGGACTTTCTCAGTTGTTTTTCCCATGGAGTCCTTCCTTTTCATGTAACTGAGTTCTAATTTCTGCTGTTTCCATCAGGCACTAGTGTAGAACACAAAGGAGGACAAGCAGCAGGAGCAGGAGCCCTGACTACTTCCATGAAGCACAGGGTTTGGAAGAGCAGCAGAGCCCTCTGTAAGTCATCATCTCTCAGCTTTTTTGGCTGGGGAAGGCTGGTACTTTGTGATGATGATAGATAGAATTGTTGTCTGTCCCTCTGGGTCACTAATAGCATCAGACTGTCCCTGTCAGGCAGCAAAGTGCTCTGTGCAAGAAACTGGGGGGAAAAAAGAGTGTAACTGAGCGGGTCCTTTCCATGCCCTCAATTCCCACAGGCCAGTAAGACACCACAGCAGAGATGTGAGAAAAGAAACATAAAAGTGTTGCTCTGTTGCCACTTCTAATAATTGCCCAAAGGAAAACAGAAATAAATGAGTGAAAACTTCTCAAGCACCTTGTTCAGACTCTGAAATGCCCATGGGCAGAGTCACAGGATGGCTGGGAAAGTTTGGGATGGCTGGGCAAGGTCAGGATGGGGCAGGGGCAGGGGAGGCTGGGCAGGGTAGCAGCGGGCTGGAGCAGCTCGGTGCTGACCCTGTCCCTCGGCGCTGACCGTGGCCGCGGTGCCGCTGCCCCTCTGTTTGCGTTAGTCTGGCCCCTGGGCCAGGCACAGTTCGGCCGTCTGCGAGCAGGAGCAGGGACCTCGTGAGAGCCCCGGGCGGCCGCTGGGACAGCGCTCGGTGACAGAGCTGCTGAGGCACAGCTGCACGGGGCTGCCACTGAGGACACCGCGTTCTGAATGAAGCATCTCAGGGACGGGGGCTGTTACACAGGCACACAGCGACAGACACTCAAAGTGCCAGAGGCAGGGTGAGATGGGATGTCGGGAATTGTTCCCTCTGAGGCCCTGACACACATTTCCCAGAGCAGCTGTGGCTGCCCCTGGATCCCTGGCAGTGTCCAAGGCCAGGCTGGACAGGGCTGGGAGCAGCCTGGGACAGTGAAAGGTGTCCCTGCCACGGCAGGGATGGCACTGGATGGGCTTTGAGGTCTCTTCTGAGATAAATCTGCCTCTGTACATTTCTGCCAGCTCACAGCCACAGCAGCCAGTTTGTTGTCCCCCGCTTGCTTAAGCTGCCTAGAAAATACCAGTGACCCAAAATGCAGCTAAGCACAGAATATTTTGGGGACAACTTGGGAGCACTGGCTGATTGATTTTATTGCTACTTGTGCCAACCTCAGGCAGTGCTTGGAGGAAACACAAGAGGCTGAGCTCAGTCTCACGTGCTCTGATCCCCAAAATACTCCAGCACTGAGCTATAAAAATTGCATCGCCCCAGCTTCCTGAAGTGAGAGCCTGAGCATCATTGTCTTCCTGACAGCTCAGCCCTGAGCACACAAGGAAACGTCATTCCTGCCCTGCAGATAAGATAAACTCCCAGGACAGCTCCAGGAATAGCACGGCAGGAACACCAACGTGTTGCTGTGCATGGGGTGGGAGCTTGAGGCAAGTCAGAGGAACACTGGGAGGGAAAAATTAGGATAAAGGAACCAGCCAGATGTTCTGAGCTTCCAACAGTGAAGGTGTTTCTATACTCAGAGACACAAGGTGAATTTGTCACCCTGTGTCAACTTTATTACCAGCAGCTGATTTTTTTAATCATCTTCAGGCATTAAACAGTCTTGCTTCTCCTGGCAGTTTTCAAGAAGGTTCTGATGCAGCCTCTTACCACTGATCAGATATAGGTGTAGTTAATTACCCAATTAACATTAGCATAACTAGGTAATTAGAATCACAGGATCAGAGAACAGCCCAGGTTGGAAGGGACCTTGGCAGATCAGCTGGTGCAGGCATTTGTGGGAAGGGAGCCCAGAGGAGGTTACCTGGCACCCTGTCCAGTCACCTCCTGAAACCCCCAGGCTGTTCCAGGGACAGATTGTTCTCACTGGAAAAAATTCCTTTGTTACACAGAGATGAAACCTCTCCTGGTGCAGCCTGTACCTGTTCCCCTTCATCTTTTGCCCGGGGCTCCCGTGAAGGGCGAGCCTCCAGCCAGAGGTCAGGGTCCATCCCAAATCCCAAGCCACCAGCCAGCCCATCCAGCTTTAATCAATACCAAACCAGGGAGTGTTTGTTTTTCACAGATCTCAAGGCTGAAGGAAAAGCAGCAGCCAGCCAGTGATGGGAAAAATAAAGGGGACAAGGAACAATTCCAAAACAGCCCTTGCTGCACTTTATACTGAGGAATATTTCAAAGAAACAGGAATTACGAAGGCTGGAAGTGCTCTAAGATAAAACATCCGAGCACATGGAACTTCAGCCTGATTATCTGCCTGTACAGAGAGAACCAGACAAGGGATTTGATGCTCCTCACCTCAAACAGCTCAAGACACGGATTTCACACAGAGTCATGGGGCAAAGTTACAGTTTATTAGCCAAGGCTTATCTCTCTGTTAATCCCCTCCGGCCATGGGAACAAGCACAGCAGGTCCCCGGGGAGCTCCGGAGCCACGTGGGCACTGCTCGTGGGCACTGGTCACTGCTCCTGGTCACTGGTCGTGCTCGTAGTCAGCCGGGTTCTTCCTCTTGAGCCGCTCAAACTCCTGCGTGCCCCAGGAATAAATGAGGTAACCGAGGGCTAGAGCTGGCAGGGACAGAGGACAGCCACGGTCAGGGGACACCACAATGAGGGGACACTGCTAGAAAGGGACGCTCTCCATGAAGGGACAGTGGAATGAGGGAACGCTGCTCTAAGGGACGCTCTCCATGAAGGGACAGTGGAATGAGGGAACGCTGCTCTAAGGGAATAATGCAGTGAGGGGACACTGCACCAGACAAGGGATTTGATGCTCCTCACCTCAAACAGCTCAAGACACGGATTTCACACAGAGTCATGGGGCAAAGTTACAGTTTATTAGCCAAGGCTTATCTCCCTGTTAATCCCCTCCGGCCATGGGAACAAGCACAGCAGGTCCCCGGGGAGCTCCGGAGCCACGTGGGCACTGCTCGTGGGCACTGGTCACTGCTCCTGGTCACTGGTCGTGCTCGTAGTCAGCCGGGTTCTTCCTCTTGAGCCGCTCAAACTCCTGCGTGCCCCAGGAATAAATGAGGTAACCGAGGGCTAGAGCTGGCAGGGACAGAGGACAGCCACGGTCAGGGGACACCACAATGAGGGGACACTGCTAGAAAGGGACGCTCTCCATGAAGGGACAGTGGAATGAGGGAACGCTGCTCTAAGGGACGCTCTCCATGAAGGGACAGTGGAATGAGGGAATGCTGCTCTAAGGGACGCTCTCCATGAAGGGACAGTGGAATGAGGGAACGCTGCTCTAAGGGAATAATGCAGTGAGGGGACACTGCACTAAGGGGGCACTCACAATAAAGTGGCATACGATGCAGTGACTGGACACCTACAAAAGGACACCGCAGGGAGGGGACACTGGAATAAGGGGGTTTCACCACACGGGGACACTGGAATAAGGGGGTTTCACCACACGGGGACACTGGGAGAATGGAATATTCACAATATGGGGACACCGCAGTGAGGGGACACCGCACCGCGCTCGGCACCTCCCTCCTGCGACACAACAACATCCCACAACCCCCGCCCTGCCCCAGTGCTTCCCCCCTGCCCAAACTTACACTACGAAAGGGGTACAAAAAAGAGGAAACCCCCCCTGTACTCACGGGGCACCACCTTCAACACCTGGGAGGCGAAGCGGCGGCCCACGTTGGGGACGCTGTGGGACAAGACATTGGGGAAGGCTTGCTGCTCGAAGGGCGACAGGCTGTAGGAGATGACATGGCGCACCCGCGCCAGGTTCCCGAAGTGCTTCCCCATGGCCGCGGCGTCCCCTCGGTCACCGCGCAATGGCCGCCGCCCGCCCCGGAACTGCCTCGGCGAGGCCTTCCGGGGCACCGCGAGCTGCGCTTTCCGTTTGTAATAAACGGTAGAGGCGATGAAATATGCGTGTGATAAATCACAGTTATACTAAAGGGTGTTTTTAACAGGCGATTTGTAATAAATGATGTGCGCCATGAACGGGTTCTGTCCTGAGGGAAGGGAGCTCCGATGGAAAATAAATCATGGCCTGAGGAAAACTCCACTTTTCCTGTGGCGATTGTGGAGCTCCGATGGAAAACAAATCATGGTCTGAGGAAAAACCCGCTTTTCTGTGGCGATTGTGGAGTTCCGCCGAAGTGTCTGAAGCAGAAAATCGTGGAATTATGGAAGAGTTAGCGCTGGAAAATGCTTTTAAAGGTTAAATATTCCGCCACACCCCTCCTCTCTCCCCGCCCCGCAATGAGCGTCGTAAACAATATTGGAATTATTATTAGAATGTATGAGACACCTACCACATAACTGAAATTACTATTAGATTATATTAGATAGCTTCAATATCACTGAAATTATTAATAGAGTCTATAATTATTAGACTATATTAGACATATTCCATATTATTCGAATTATAGAATATATTCAACATCAAACTTATTTAAATTATTATTAGAATATATTAGAGATCTTCAACATTATTGCAATTATAATTAGAGTCTATTAGAATTATAATAGTATATCAGCTTCCACATTAATGGATAATTGTTAGGATTACTATACTATAATTAATAATCTTCCACATTGTTGAAATTATTAGAAGATACTAGAATTGTTAGGCATATTTAACATTATTGGAATTATTATTAAACTAGATGAGCATGGTTAGAATATTATACATTTTCACAATGATTTGAATTATAGTAGAATTATTAGACTGCATTAGACATTTTCAACTTTATTTGCATCATTGTGCTATATTAGACATATTTGCCATTATTTAAACTAATATTGCACTACATTACATTTGTTAGAATATGTTGAACATTTTCAACCTTGTTGGAATTATTATTAGAATATATTAGGTTCAACATTATTGGAATTATTACAATATATTACACATATTTAATATTATTGGAATTATTATACTATATGAAAAATTATACCCATTAATGGACTACTAGAATATATTAGGATTATTGGACTACATTAGACATTTCACCATAATTAGAAGGATTTGTCTCAGGAAACAATTCCATTTATTTTTCTTTTCTGGCAGGTGAGCAAAGCCAAATTCCCAGGGTTTGAAGGGAAAAGCAGGAGTGGTACAATCCAACCTGACCCAGCTGCCCACAGTGCTGGCACCAGGACGGTTTTATGTGACACCAGGATTCTGTTTTGAGCTTTTGGTGTCAACCACTTTGATTTCAGCAGTCAGAGACTGAAAGCTGGAGCAGGATCCTCACTTTTAGGGCAGATTAGCACTGCAGGAGCTCTCCAGACACCCCACCATCCGTGTGTTCAGTGACCAGGTGAACCAGACTGACACCACTCAGCAGTCCCTGCCCTGCCAGGCTGAATTCCCAGCCTCTGGAAGTGCTCAGGAGCTCAGGTAGGGGCTGGTTGGGTGGCTGAGTGCAGAAAGTTACAGCATTTATTCATTAATCTATTAGCAAGTCAACATTAAAGGATGTTCTGAACAAGTTTTACAAGACAGTGCTGCTCCACAGCCTTTAATTAACAAAAAAGAAAAATCCCCACTAAAGCTGAGAGGTTTTGTGTATATAAATCCCAAGTCCAGGTGGAGAAAATAAATCATAATAAATCAATTACAGTAAAAATTTGATGTGAAAGCATCTAGAGTTGAGGCACTTGTTACCTACAGTTTCATTGTGAAACAAAGCTGTGGCCCCACATTTCAGAACATTAAACCCACTGAACAGCATTTACATCAACATTTAAGGCTTTTAGAAGCCATTTTGGGGGATTAAGCTTTTTAAACAATTCTTCCTACTTCAGAAGCCAGTGGCAGTGTGGCTCCAGTGGACAATCCTCTGCCCTCACCCCATGGACAGCTGCTCCTTATTCTTGAATCAAAGGAAACCTCACCTGATGCCAATTGTTACCAAAAGAAGTGCCTTGATTTAAGTGTTCGCAAATTACCCACAGCTGCTTTTAAATTCTTACCCTTCTTTTACCTGAGAAAGCCCAAAAAGTGCAACAGAAGAAAAGCAAAAAACAACACGTTAACCATAGAACGGTGAGGAAGGGTTTTGTCACCCTGCTTGGAAGAGCTGGAACGTGGTAGGGGAAGAGAATGAAAAACTGAAGAAATAATCCTGACATTAAAGACTTTCTCCCCTCCCTAGTCATTGCTGGAGATGCCACACACAAGGTTTCCGTAGAGGCAGAGTAGCAGGCACTGCATGTCAGGGTATGTTTGATAGCCATTTATTTCTCTCTTTTTTTTTTTTAAATCTGTAATAAAGCAGCTTAAAAATAGACATTTAGTACTTGAAACCTTTCCCCCATTTTAAATGCAAAATCCTCCTGATAAAAAGACACTATTTACATTTAATTGCACATTCTAGAAAGGCTGAGTGAGTACAAAAAGCAGTGGTCTGATGTGAACCCCCTTCTGCTAACGCGGTGCTGACTCCCAGCTCCCGCAGTTCCAGCAGCGCCGCTCGGTCGGCCGTAGCTGCAGGACCCTGAGAGTGCAAAACTAAAAGCTGTGTTTGGGAGTGCGGACGCGGCCCGAAGCAGAGTGCCGCTAGCGGCAGGTGCACTTGGTGGCGATCATGTCCTCGTACTCCTTGTAGGCGATGGAGCCGTCGGGCTCGATGGTCAGCACGCTGAGCGGGCTGTAGGCGGCCGGCACACACGAGGGCCTGGGCACCGAGGGGTCCAGCCGCTCGTAGATGAGGGTCTGCACCATGGTGTGCACCGGGGAGCCGTAGCGGTGGCCCAGCGCGCGGGGACAGTCCCCGCGGCAGAACTGCGGGCTGTAGCGGTGCGGGGCGATGATCCAGCGGTCCCAGCGCAGCTGGCTGAAGCTCAGGCGGAAGTTGTGCAGCTCGCACTCGTGCTGAGGGAACGCGAACTGCTTCAGGTACTCGCTCAGGTTATGAGGCGAGGTGGCTGGGGCCGCTTTGGGGTTCTCGTTCCTTCGCTGGCGAGACGCCCTTTTACCCTGGGGGTTGCCTTGGTCACCCTGCGGAGGATCCACCAGCGGGCTGCTGCTTTTCCCCCCGTGCCCCAGTGAGCTGCCCCGGTGATAAGCTTGCTCGCTGGTGTCATTCAGATACAGCAGAAGGGAAGGGGGAACCAGTGTCACATTAACAGCGTTTTCCAGTTTCGTGCTCCCTTGTGGGTCACCCGTCAGACAAGTGAAGTTCAGAGCCATGTGCACGTTCCTCCTGTTCATAGCAATCAGAGGCTGGAGGAAAGAAGTCACATCCATCTCCACCCATTTGCGTTTCCTAACGTCAAAGTGCAGGCTAAAAGCTAAAGAGTGGGAAATGCTGGGACAAACTTGGCTGGAAAAATCATGTTCCTTAAGGGATAAATGGCATATGCAGGTAATGGAAGAGGAAATGGGAACAGATGTGTCAAAGGAATAGAGCAAGACAGACTTGAGTAAGTGCTCCAGAGCAGTAACACGATCCAAGCTGAAGAGTAAATCCACCGAGTGAACATCTCCTGGGAAGGGAAACAGATTCCTGTAATGTTAGTATGTCTTATTTTTCCACCTAGACATAAATACTGTTGTAGTGGATAAATAAAAAGTATTCAGCAGCATAAGAAAAATTTCAATGCCCTCCCTTATATTTACTATGTGAAATTTCTACTTTGGACAGGGACATATGAGTTAAAAATTAAGAAATCTTAAAAAAAAAAAAAAAAAAACCCAACAAGAAAACCACCAAAAGAAAACCCCTGATTTTAACAGTTATTAGGATTCATTTCCTTAAAAGAACCAGCAGAGGAGGAAGTCAGAAAAAAAAAAAAAAACCAACAAGAAAACCACCAAAAGAAAACTCCTGATTTTAACAGTTATTAGGATTCATTTCCTTAAAAGAACCAGCAGAGGAGGAAGTCAGCTGTTGTCTCTTTAGTGCTGGTGTGGGGTAACAGGAACTAAACACTCCAGATGATACAAACCATGAAATCATCCTCAAAGGGCTGTTCCTGCGCAGCAGCACAATGCTTGTGTTTATCTGTCTTTCTAGTGAAAAACCCAGGTCAGGAGAACTCAGGTCACCTCAGCAGGATTAACAGCCAACGATTTCTGGGTGCTGTTGTTGTGGGCAGCCCACATTTAAGAAAGCCATGGAAGCACCATAAGTTACAGTGTGCCCAGCCATCCCAGCTCTGAGCCTGATTTACAGTAATTCTACTCTTCCCTTCAGGCTTTGGTTGTGATTCTTCTCTAGCAAATGTACCAGGCAAGGAGAGGAGCCTCTGGCAGTGGGTTCTGGCAGCTTGGTACAAGTCTCATACCAGTGCTGTAGCTCTTTGAGAAAAGCAAAGCCAAGATGGGCTGTAGAAGGAAATGTACTGCCCATTATACCTCAACATTTTTTCCACTTTTCTTACTTCACTTAGATCTGCTTGTGCCTTTTTCTGACTCATGAGGAGATGAGTCAGCCTGAAACATCAGCATGCCTCGTACATACCACTTGTGTGGTGTTCCCCAGCCTGTAAAGTCTGTACCTAATGCCACTCAAGGAGAAGTAGGCTATGAAAAACTCCCCCAGTTCAGGAGAAGAGCCTCCAGGACTAAAATAGCAGCAGCTCAAAAGGAAGGAGGTATTTTTATCTGGTGCTGCCTGCACAGAACACACAGAAACCCGCACACCTACCTACCTGTCCCCAGGTGCGCGGGGCTGTGCTCGCATTCCCAGCACGGGGTGAAGAGCCGCACCGTGTTATAGAGGCGGCCTCGCTGCGCCTTGGGGATGCCGTCCCTGGTGGCAGACATCCTGTACAGCCTCTTCATGTACCGAAGGGCCTTGGAGTCCGGCTGCAGCCGCGGCGCCTCGCCGTGCCAGCCGCGGGGGCCGCGGTCGTGCAGCACCTTGAGCAGGGGGGGCAGGAGGGCATGGGCTGGTGCCCCACCTTGGGGCAGCTGCAGCCCCGCGCTGAGCTGGCTGGCAGCATCCTCAGGAGCTGCCAAAAACCCAGGGGCCTCCCCAGAGCCCCCCCGGCCCCTGGAGCGGGGCGAGCACTGGGTGCCAGCAGAGAGCCAGGACAAGCAGCAGTACAAACAAACACAAATCCTCCAAGTGCTCTCCATGCTCTCGAGGGCTGCAGATGAAAAATTACCTCCCCTCAAGTATTCGAGGAAAAACAGGAGTGCCTGAGCCCCATCCCTTATATAGGTTGCAGCTGTGGAATGTGAGGGAGGTTTCCTTCTGATTAGGAAGCAAAGAGAAAGGTCTGCAGCTGGCCCCTGAAACCACAGGTTCAGTGCAGTTGGGCTAAGCCTTGACCCTAGAAGCTTATTATAAAGAGATACTAATTCTGAGTTAACCTTTTTCACATGGGAAATGACAGGCTGGGAGTGAGTGCCAGCCCGCAGAGGGAGCTGGGGAGGCGTTAGTGTTGCCTGCTCTAATTAATCCTGGTTTATTTGCAGGAATATATAAAGCTAAATATTACTCCTCTTAGCCTTTGGCCTCTTTCCATGTGCTGGTGGAGTAGTTTTACCAGCTCTGAGTGGAACAATCCAGCCCCCAGCTGCTCACTGGGTATAAAGTTGTGGGTTTTGTTAAGGAAGAAGGTTTGAGGCTGCTTTGAGAGCATCTTACAGGGAGCTTAAATTAGGAGTTCTGTCAGATGTTCTCCCTCTTGCCTTGGTGTGCTGCAGTGGAAAGCTGAGTTTGCCAAGCTTGTTGCTATCTCTTTCAGCTTCCCTGGTGTATTTTCCTGCCCGAGAATCTCTTGTTTATGAGCTGGAGAGCAAAGAAATCCCTGAAGAATCAAAAATTGTGAAAATGGAGTCTGCTGGTGTTACCTGCCTTGTTTGCTGCCTGAGGTGAGGTTTGAGGTCACCTGCTGTACACCAGATTTGAGTTATTTTTTCAGAAATTTTTTATACTGATCCTTCTTGCAGGATCTTTGTCACAGGGTTTCAGTTGTGGCTTTAAGGTAGGAGTAGGGAAATTGTTTCTCATTTTGTTGGTGTCTTTTTTATTTTATATTATTGTTGCATGTGGTTAAGGTGCAAGTCTGGTGCTGCAAACTCCAGAGCAGGGGGGCTGGAGGATTTTTGTGATTGGGAAACACAAGGTGTTTTCAGAAATCCCTTCTTGTCTAACTATATTACTTGGAATCAAGGCAGAGGCCAATTGTGGTGAGTCAAAAAGGTTGCTGAATTTACTTTGAATTACAGAATTTCCTGAATTTACTTTGAATTATTAATAGAAGGTATGTGGAACAAAAAGCATCAACCCCAAGATTTACACAGCATCTGCTCAGTGCTGGCAGTGGCTCACTGGTGATTGGGCTGGTTCCCACTTCCGTCTTCCCAAAATAAGCTCTATTTATTTTTATCTTAATGGGTCAGGGCTGCGGCTCCTAAGCACAGCTAATGGTCTCAAGGGCATCCTTTAAGTTTAAACAGGGTTTTGACTCATTTTTATGGGGGCTTTTGGAGAGGGACAATCACTCTCTGTAGGCTGCTTACAGACTTCCAAACTGCTTTTATGCAGGGCAATAAAAATTACTCAAATCACCATCCCACAATAAGACTGAAAGCCTGTTGGGTGGAAAAATGCTTCTTCCTTCCCATTAGTATGTCCCCAAAACCCCAAAGCACTGACACTCATCTGTGGTGAGGCACACTCCCATTGTTACTGCTGGGTTTTAAGCTGCCTCCAGCCTTGGTGTGAATTTCAGCTCTTCTGGCATTTGCTGAATCATTTTATTTGGTTACAAAGTCGTGGCTGCAAGGTCAGTGCCTAACAATGAAACCAGTGAGTTCTCAGAAGGTAAACAAGGGGAAATCCTTCCAGGCTGGGACACAGCCCTGTCCTGGGCTGGGAACTGATGGTTACCCACATTTAGGCACTCCCACTTCTCCCCCACAGCACGTGCACAGCAACAGTAAAGGGTGAATGAACCTTTAGGTGACTTTGTCCTGCAGGATTAAGGATGACAAACCAGATATATTTATATAAAAATAAATGATTTATCACATGCTAGTGATAAGACTAAAAAGGCCTTAAACAGAATTATTTGCTAGCCAGTATGGGTAGCCAGAACTACTAGTATAGTACAGTGCACTAGTTTTGAAGCAAAATTGAAGCATTTATATTAAAGCAGTTATATTGAGGCAATTATACTAAAGATAGCAAAAAGCATTAGCTAGAGAATTGTGTTACTCATCCAGACCAACGACAGTGGGCAAATCTCTTTGGCTCAGCCTTGAGGAGTGTCCCACTCCAGGGAGGAATCTCCACACACTCTCCAGGAGGGGTGTGCTGGAAAACCCTCTATTAAACAGTGGGCCTGGGCTGTCAGGCAGATGTGTCTGGGCCAGCTGTGCCAGCTCAGCAGCTTTGGGTGAGGTGTCAGTAGCATCACGTTTTTGTTCCTTTTTCAGGCACTTCATCATCTACCATATTTTCACCTTGCTCTCAGGATGTTTACCTTTGGGATCCAAGGGTCAGGCTGGTTTTAGCATTATTCACCCCAAAAGCAGTGTGAACCACTTCTCCACTCACTGACAGCTTTTCAAGCAGGGCATTGTTTGAGTTGTTCCCCCCTCCCCACTCCAGGCAGAGCATCCTGAGCAGGGACTGCACCCCCAGCCCCCCTTCCCTGGGGACACCACGGGAGTCACAGCACAGAGGCTTCTGCTAAAAAGCAGCACAGAGGGGATGAGATCTACTGAATGTCCCCTGCAGTGTCTCACTGACACAAAAAGCACTGAGCACGAGTCTCAGGCAGCTCTGATTCTCTGTGCAGTTTGTTTATTTAACAAATTGTGCTGCCAAGTGTTCTCAGCAGAGCTGTCTGGGACCCCGGTGGAGCCTGGCCTGGCTGTGCAGCACAGATTTTCCATCTGCCCAGCAGGAGCTTCCCAGCAGTTTCTCCCCATGCTGCTGAACTAGGTCAGGCTCTCACTGCCTTCCCCATGCTGCAGACCTGGGCACAAAACCACCCTGAACTGTGAATTCCCTGCTCCTGCATGGAGCTGCCTGTCAGGATTGCTGTGTGTCCAAGCATCCTCTGTCCCTGGCCCATGTCACACCCATCCCGAAGCACAGGTGCCATGGGGTAGGAGCAGGAGCAGCAGAGGAGCTGTTCCTTTCCCACACCATCAGGAAACCACTGTGGCTTCCCAGAGCCATCCCACTGGCATGGCAGCAAAGCCCACGGAAGCTTTCACCTGGTTTCCTATTTCACACGCAATGCCTTGAGCCTTTTGGCCCACACCCAGGCAGAGGGGCCCAGCACGAGATCTGGGCTCTTACAAATTCATAGAGACCGGCAAAAAGTGAGACTTTTTCTGACCAATTTCAGAGCAGCCCTCACAGCAGTGTCTGGGTCTGTCCCAGCTGTGCTCACCCCAGTGCCAGAGGTGAGCCAGCTTTTCTAGAACAGCCCTTTTCCCAGGGAAATGCAAAGCTGAAGATTGCAGGGGTTTGGGAAGAGGGGCTGTTCCCCTGGAGGTTGCTCAGTGCCAGGGAGCCGGGGCCGGGGCGCTGGCTCTGCAGGGGCTCTGTGGGACTGTCAGCACAGCACGAAAACAGCCCTGTGCTTCCTCAGCCAAATGTTCCCAGTCCTCCCAGGAGCATCTCAACTGGCCCCAGCTCACAAAGCCAACTGCATACAGACTTCGTTTTTATGTCAGATCTGTTCCCACCAAGTGCCAAAAGCAAGCACAGGGGAAAACTTAAAAATAAACCACAACAGCTCTGAGAAGGATGAATTTGGGCAGAGCAAGGAATGGCAATTCCAGCATTCTCCTGATCAGCTGATGTTCTGCACTGAGCAGAAAGGATTTACTGGCTGCAGGGCAGGGTTTGGAGCCCTGCCACCAGGCACACGCCTGTCCCACGCCCATGAGGGATCCTGGTGGGGCCAGAGCAGGAACCCACCACCAAAGATGAGTCTGGTCAATACCAGCCCTGGCAAAATCCCAGAGCATCCTGCTCCAGCCTCAGCTGCTGCTCCTGCTGTTCCTGCCTTACCTGAAGCAATTGTTGGGAGGTTGTAATTATTTTCCAAGCTTAAAACAAAATCCTAATCCTTTCCCAAGACAGAAACATTCCTGCCCTGCCATCGCTAAGACAAAATTGTATTTTGTAGTGCACATCAGCCTGAAGAAGTGCTGAGGTACAAATTTGCCTTTGCAGAACTGATGCTGCTTCATGGCTTTGTCCTTAAATTCAAGCCTGGAGGGATTCAAGTGAGTTTCCACCCCTGGGATAAGATTTTCTTCCCTTTAATGCTCCAGGATAAAGTGTGAAAGTTGTTCCCTGTTGGATCAGCGTTACCCATTCCCTGCTTGTGCGGGCAGTGACTACAGTAGAGAGGGGCAGCATCAATCAGAAAGGATCCAGGCAGCCCCTGAGTCTTTCCTGCAGGACTGTGAGGGAGAGGGAGAAAGGAAAAAGCTCCCCAAGCATCAAGAGCCTTCCAGCCACATGTGCATAAAAATCCTTTCCCGCGCCACGTGACTGAGGAAGAGGCACAGATCCATTACACAATAATAAAAATATGCCTTTGGCAACGTGGAGCCAAAGTGGAGCTGCTGCAGGGAGCTCAAACTACGCACAAGAAGGAGTAAAACAGGAATAAAAGGGACCAAAGTTAATCCTGCACAGCCCTCCCAAACCCTGCTGTGGCAGGACGGGGCTGTGGATCTGCAGCAAAACATCTGCCTGAAGCCCTGGGGGCTGCCAGCGCCTGTCAGGATCTCACTGAGGAGATCAGGCTGGTGAGTAGATCCACTTTTCCTTTCTCTGCCTCTCCCTCCTCTTAACCTTTACTTTGAAAACTTCCCAAATAAGGTCTAAGTCACTGAGCACTCAGGTTTCCAAAGCTTGCACAGGAATCCATAAAGCCAACAGTTGCCAGTTAAAGAAATAACACCAAGAGGGAAACATTCCTCTGCTTTTGCTGGGAGCTCCCACCTCCTTCAGCCTGTCCTGCACTGGGCAGCTGCCGAGACGGGTTTGAGCTCGGGGTTAGGAAGGGTTTGGCACAGGAATTCCTGGTGTTTCTGCTCCAGGCTAGGGAAGGTTTGGCACAGGAATTCCCGGTGCCTGCAGCCAAGGACAGAAGGTGCATCCTCTGCTTTCCCTCCTTTGCTTTGTGCAGCAGCGGGGAACGCCTCAAACCGCTGTTGGTGTAAGTGCTTCCCTGGCTCCTATCAGTTAAATCTACCCATTTCCTGTGTTCTGTCACTGCTGTCACACCTGATTTCACCGAAATCAGCCTCACACCCAAGGGCTCCTTTTGCTTCCACCCCGGGGATGTTGCAGGGCAACCTCCAGAGCTGAGAATTAGGCTCATGGGGATAATTATTATCTTAAAGATTAATTAAGACACCTTGAGGTACACTAGGAAATTGTGAGGCACAAAGATGGATGTTTTATTTGAGAAAGCCTCGAACACTGAAAGGAAATAGAGAAGAAAGTCACGGTGCTTGCTCACTGCTGGGTCCCTGCTCCTGCTCCTGCCTCCCTCCCTCCAAGCAGCAATTCCCTCAGTTTCCTATTCCCACCACCACATGGCACAGGGTGGCTTCACTGGCCAAAAAATCATCGTCACTGCACGTGCCACCAAACCCTGCATCTGGCAACCCTCAGGGATTTTCCTCTGGGATTTCAGCCCAGCTGCCCTGGAAGCAGCAGAAAGTACAGCTGATCCTGACTCTTCCAGGCAGGATCTTTTCTCACAGAAACACTTCTTTAATGCACAACAGGCATTGGTCACGGCCCAGAGGTCTCTAACCCTGGTGACAAAGCCATTGGTTAAAATGTCATTGGAAAATCAGCCCTGCTGCTGCACAGCCTCCTGTGCTGGGCTGGCTGCCCACACCACGGAGAGGGGAGATGCTGATCTGCTTCCAATTTGCTTTTTGGAGCTCATCGGACCTTCTATATTGAGGAACAATTTTCCTTTTAAGGTGGAACAGCATGAGGTTTGCTCTCTTTCAAAAAGATTTCTTGAAGAGGTTATTTATAGATGCTCTTGTGGAAGTGGTGGTGCTTTGCATCCCACACACATTGCTGGGATATGGGATGAAGCGTTCTTGTGGTGCTGTTAATTAGCACCAGCTCTGGAGCTGTGCCAGAGCACAGCCCCAGCTACTTGGACACTCCCCACTTATCCAAGAACTGGTCCCACAGACCTCCCGACCTCGGGGGATTTTGTTTGCCTCTTTTTATCCCATCAGGTTAAGGACCTGGGCTGTCTCAAGGCAACAGAAGTGATTATGGTGAAAAACAGGAGGCCTCCCATCCTTCTCACACCTTTCTTGTCCACATGAGGCATTCCCAGCTTTTCTCCAGGTTATGCTGCACAATGACATTTTTCCCTGCCACAGCTTGGGAGTCACATCTACCTCCAGACACCTCTCACTGCTCTGTCCCTTTGGAGGGCTTCCTGGGAAGCAGGGATGCAGCTTGCCTTGTGATCTCCCACTCCACAAGGCATTTTGTTTCCCTTCCCATTAACTCAGAAGCCTTCATTCAACTTTCCACATGAACACTGGGTGGTGTTCTCCATCTCACATTAAACCAACCAGCAGCAAATCAGAGCTGAAGAACCAAAGGGCTTAAGCAGCCACATCCAGCCCTGGATCTGGTTTGCATTTCCCTCTCCTCTGCATGTTCTTAATTAGAATATCACAGAACTGGGGGCTCCCACTGAGCATAAATATGTAGGATCAGCTGGCTGGATTTGGAGCATCTAAATATGCATTTCCACCCCTCAGGAGCTGAGAGCAGGATAAGAGCTAAGGCCAACATGGAATTTACCCAGTGCTTTGAGCATCTTATTTCCAGGGCAGGAGTTGCACATAGCAGTACTGGGGAGCTGCTAAAGCTGAGCTGCAGTGGGGAAGGGGATGAGGCTCAGCTCATCTGACAGGCAAAAGGCACTAAGGCCTGGCCCAAAGCCTGCCCGGCCTCTCTTCGGAGTCCTGCCCTCACCACATGATGGGCTTTGTGCTTTGAAGAAACCCTAGTGACCCAGCCACGGGCAGGTCATACTGGAGATGTCCCCTTCTCCTTCTTCCACTCCCCTGCTTGGTGTCTGCACCCCTCTGCCATTGCTCCTGGTGTTTTGGGAGAAAAGAGGCTCAGGGAGCAAAACGAAATGAGGGATGGCCACAGATACAGACTTGGAGAAGAGTAAATTTAATAAAAATATTGGTCTGACCTAGAAAACTCCGTGAGCCAAGTCCTTGGAATCGCATCACACCAAAGCAAAGAGCTCCCCCACCCTGCCAGGACAAGCCAAATAATCTCTCATTTTCGTGCAAGTTTCTACACCACCCGTGCCAGCGGTGCCCACAGGCTGCTCCCTGATCCCGTCTGCTCCCCACAGGCTGTGCCATGATCTCTGCTGTGCTGCTCCTCTGGACCGTGCCCTGCGTGGCAAACCACATCCTGGGGGGCTTTGCCAAGCGGGAGCTGCAGGAGGGTGCCCAGCTGGCCTGCAGCCTGCCAGGGCCCCCCGGGCCCCCCGGGCCCCCCGGCGTGCCCGGCGCTCCCGGCACCGTGGGCAGGATGGGCTTCCCGGGCAAGGACGGCAAGGACGGCCAGGACGGCGACAAAGGCGAGCACGGCGATGAAGGTAAGAGAGAGGCGCTCGACGTGACCATGAAGGGTGGAAGCTGTGGGGCAACAGCCCCTCCACAGCTCCACCTGATGGGAGCCTCCTCCGAACGCTGCCGCTTGTCCGAGGGGCTCGCACCGCGTCCTCACAGCTGCAGTTTGTGTCGGCTCCGTTTTGTGACACAGTGAGGCTGGCCCTGCGCTGCTCTGGGCTCTCTAGGAATGACAAGGATCTGTCTCAGGTTCCTGCTCCCAGGAAAACCAGAGCCACGTGGGAAAAGGCAGCGCCGGCAGCCCCGAGCGCTGTAACGGGACCGGCGCTGGCCGTGCCGGACCCGGCGCGGAGCAAAGAGCCGAGGCGGGGCTGTGCCCGAGGCACCGGCAGCAGGAGCAGCCCGGCGCACAGCAGAGATTTCCCTCGGCCACACTAGAGAGCACTCCTGCCTCAGCAACGCCAGCGAGCCCAGCCTGCGGCTGCTCCCTCCTCCCTCCCCAAACCGGGAATCTGGAGAGCAGATTTCCACCGCAGCTGCATTTCGATCTGCTCTTGCTAGCAGCACGTCAAGAGGCGCTGCATAAATCCTCACGGTTTTGCTCAAATCAGATACCACCAGCCAGAATCACTGCCAGCCCAACTGCCTTCCCATCTCAAGGCAGCCCCTGCCCCCCCGTGTTTGCTGGTTCATCCCCCGGCTGGGCTGGGCTGGGCTTTTTTACCACATCTAGGCTTACTTCTACCTTGTTTTTATACAGTCACATGCTAAATGTAAAAAAAAAAAAAAAAAAAGCAAAGAAAAAGGAAAGACATGAGATCAAAAGTATTCACCTGCTCAAACTGAGGCTCTGAAAGCTTCACAAAGCTGCCCCACTCTATAAAACCCAAGCATTTAAAGCTTGTTCTGTAATTCATTCTTTTTCTCAAGTGAGCCAGATAATGGAATCAGCCTTTTGGTCCTTAAAAAGGACAGAATTCCCCTGTTGCCACACCAGCTCCCTGCCTACGCTGGCTGGTCAGTCAGTCCAGCCCCCGGTGGGATTTCATTGGGATTCTCACACCAGCAATGGCTTCCTGCTAAATGAAATCCCTGCTGCAATGCTCTAACCCCTTTCCACCCTCCGTATCAGCTCTTTCCCTCAAGAGTGATAAGAACTGATAAGATCATTTCTCTTCCAGGTCCCCAGGGCAGAACAGGAAACCCTGGCAAGCCAGGCCCGAAGGGGAAAGCTGGAGCCATTGGCAAGGGAGGGCCCCGGGGGCCCAAGGGTTTAAAGGGCAATCCCGGGAAAATCGGGGCTCCGGGGAAGAAAGGGCCCAAAGGGAGCCAGGGGGAGCCCGGGCTGCCGGGGCCCTGCAGCTGCAGCGCCAGCAAGGCCAGGTCTGCCTTCTCGGTGGCCGTGTCCACCAGCTACCCCAGGGAGAGGCTGCCCATCAAGTTCGACAGGATCCTGATGAACGAGGGAGGACATTACAATGCTTCCAGTGGGAAGTTCATCTGCAGCATCCCAGGGATTTACTACTTCACCTACGACATCACTTTGGCCAACAAGCACCTGGCCATCGGCCTGGTGCACAACGGCCAGTACCGGATCAAGACTTTTGATGCCAACACTGGGAACCACGACGTGGCCTCTGGATCCACCATCCTGGCGCTGAAGCAGGAGGATGAGGTGTGGCTGCAAATCTTTTACTCGGAGCAAAATGGGCTCTTTTATGATCCCTACTGGACAGACAGCTTATTTACTGGATTCTTGATTTATCCCGACCAAGATTATCTCAATGAAGTGTAGGAGGAGAAACTATGGGGAAAAATTAGGAAATGGGCCTCAGTCCAACAAAGTGTGGCCTTACGTGGGACATGCCTGGGATTATCAGATGATTCCACATTTGCCTGTGGGATTATCAGCTGACTGCACCCTGTATGGGCTATTTAGACTTTTCCACAGGGCACCAAGCTTTCAGCAGCCTCATGAATGTCTCCATTCCAAAGCCACCCATTATGTATTCCATGATTATTCCAACATGCCATGGACATGTAACTCAAATACTGGTGCAGAATGCTTTGGTTATTGCATTGCTATAATAAAGCATGGAAACCAACAGTCATTTCCTAAAGCTGAGCTGGGAAGTGCCACTGATGCTGGAGATTGTGTCACTGGGCCTCCTCCCCCACAGCCCAGCACACTCCTTGTTAATGGAATTGGGCTTTGCCAGCCAAAAAGAGTCAGGAATTTGTCAGCTGGAGTTGTAAAAGTCCCTCCCAGCCCCATCAAGGCAGCTCTAACACCAAAGGCATCTGGTCTGCACAGGAAGTGATTAAAAGGTCTTGTTTTTAAGGCTCAGGGCTCCTCTCAGGGCACAAAGTGGTGCTCTGAGCACCACTGGTGTCCCTCAGAGCAGAGAATCAGAGTCAAAGAAGGGTTTGGTTGGGAGGGACCTTAAATCTCATCTGGTTCCACCCCTATCAGATATTTAGGAATGGGGTCAGCATTAACATGATGATGTTTGTAAAGTCAAGAAAGAGATGAAGACAGAACTGTATTTCATTTATTTTATTGTTGGCTTTCAATGCAGTGGAAGAGACTGGCCTTGCTGCCTTAGGCAATCTTCTTGCTGGTCCTTTTGTAGACTACACCAGAAGAAGTAGAAATCTGGAACAAAGAACAACCCAAAAATTTGGTTGAGCAGTGTAATCAGAGCCCCAGAGTCCCAGGGGAACAGCCCTGGGGTTGGCTCAGGACCTCTCCTTTGCTTAAGATTTTTTCCTAAATTTCAAATGCTGGGGATTCTCTTTATTTTTTATGAACTACTCTGGATCTTTGAGCACTCACCTCTACCAGCTTCCCCCCACAGATCTCTGCAGTGTGGCGGTAGTTGGGGAAATCAGCTACAAGTTTCCCATCTTCCATTTTGACAGTTGCCTGTAGGAGAGAAAGGGGTTCATGTTGCTGGGTTTGCTGGAATTTCTGTTGCCAGATTCTGTAAACACCTGCACACCTGGTGCTGGAAGTTTATGAGACAGAGGTTGTGTGTTGCACAGGGCTGAAATCCGTGGGCTTTAGTTCTTGAATGTTCTCAGGTTAAACAGACACTTATTCATTTTCCAATTCCTGCAGGTTCCAGATCTGCACATCACTCATTAACAGCTCTGAAAATGGTCCTGGCAGCAGCCCAGGAATCAGTGATGATGGACTCAGGGAACCCCAGGATGGTCTGGGTTGGAAAGGGCCTTAGAGCCCCTCATGTTCCACCCCCTGCCATGGACAGGGACACCTTCACTAGGCCTGACTCAGGTTTGCTTTTCACCCTAAATCCAAATCCACCTGAGGCTGGGGACATGAAGAGCTCCATGAATTTACCTTGAACTTCTTCCCTCCCATGGTCTCCATGTCTGCCTCCTTGCCCACGGTGAAGGTGTTGGTGGTGGTGCGGCCTCCCGGGAAGTGCTGTGTCCACGTGAAGTCATTCCCGTTCTGCACCACCTCGGTCACAATCTTGCAGTTCCTTCCCATTTCAGCCTTGTCACTGGGGAGACCTTAAACAACAAAAACACAGAGTTTATCAAATCTAAGCTGAATTTAACTGAAGGATGGTAGTGGTGTGTTTGTCCTCAGAGCATCTGATATGTTGTTCATTTCTTATTTTTAATTTTTTTACAATATCAAAGCTCTGAGTTGAAATTACTGATGTAAAGAAAGATATTGGTACATTAATATGTGTGCTAAAACAAATCTTGCATTCTTTTCCTTAAGAAACAATACATAGGGAAAATGTACAAAGTACATAAAATATCCCCTTCTTCTTAACCTACACAAGCAATGCTTGGAGTTTCATCTGTGGGACCTTGGGCCTTTGCTATTTAACTGCACATACTTATTTGTATATTTGCTCTTGCTCTTTAACTAGAGGCACATGGAATCTTTGGACAGTTTGGGTTGGGAGGGAGCTTAAAGATCATCCAAGCCCCTGCCATGGCAGGGACACCTTCCACTGTCCCAGGCTGCTCCCAGCCCTGTCCAGCCTGGCCTGGGACAATTCCAGGGATGCAGGGGCAGCCCCAGCTGCTCTGGGCACCCTGTGCCAGGGCCTCCCCACCCTCACAGGGAAGAATTTCTTCCCAATGTCCCATCTAAACCTACACCCTGCAAATTTGAATCCATTCCCCCTTGTCCTGTCCCTCCATTCCTATAAAGTCTCTCTCCCTCTTTCCTGGAGCCCCTTCAGGCACTGGGAGGCCACAGCTGGGTCACCCCAAAGTTTCTCCTCTCCAGGCTGAACAATCTCAGCTCTCCCAGCCTTTCCCCAGTATTTTCTCCAATCCATGCCCCGTGCCTGACCCCAGCCAGACTCACCAATCTTCTGCACAAAGGCATCGTAGTTCTCATCACCCTCGAACTCGTATTTGCCTGAGAATGCCATTGTTCCCCTGGGATGAGCCTGGGAAGCAGAACAGCAGCTGGCCAGAGCAGGATGGAGCAGCGGGGCTGAGCCCTGCCTTTATAGACCAGCCCCAGCTCTCAGCCCACCTGGCCCACACCCCTCGGGAATGGAGCTTTATGGCCCCTGAGTCACAGCAATGCCATCGACCTGTGTGACAATCAAGGTTATCAGGCAATTGTGCATCCTTGCCAATAACCTGGAGATCAGCAGGAATCAAGGCCAAAGGCTCAGCTTTCCTTTAGTGCAGACTTTAACAAAATTATGTATTTTTGCTTTTAAGATTTCACTGGTTTTGCATTCAGGATGGAATGAAAGTAAAATAAAAACGGACTATGCACCAGTTCTCAGCTCTGCAGAGAAGGACCTGGGGAAACTCATGTCACCACCTTTGCACTTTTGATATAAAAGTGGCTGTACAATGACTCTGACTATCCTGAAAACATATTTGACACTTTTTTAATTAATCAAATTTAGCAATCCCAAGATTGCTAAACCCAACGAAAGGAAACTTTCCTTTCCCATCTGGACCCCAGTGCTGAGGCCCCAGCTGTAGAGAGCAAAGCAGCACTGGCACAGGGAGCAGGGCAGGGTGGCACAGCCATGGAAGCCTCAGTGCTCACTGCTCTGCTCCACAGGGACCTGCACAGCCTTGGGGAGGAGGTCCATGAACTCAAGCCATAAACTCTCCTGCTCACATTAAACTTGCAGGGGACAATTCCACTGGCAGAGTAACACTACAGAGACCTTGGGACAGAGATCAAACTGGATAAGGAAAGCAGCCCAGTCCTGGGTAAAAGGAAGGAGATAATCAGATTATATGAATGGTACTTGAGCTTTTATGCTCCCTGTCCATAAAGATCAGATTATATTGATAGCTGGCCCATGATGAGATACAAAAAAAACGCTGACAGCTCCACACAGACATGGACAGGAGATTCCATAATGCCATGATTTGGTTCTGCTGGTTACAAGAGCAGCTATGCAGAAGAGCTCCTTGCTGTATTTGATGTACCAGGATGGTGTAAATTCAAAGTGTGCGGTATTTGGAGACAGCGAACAGGAGTAAGTTGTCAGAGAAGTAAAACTCTTGTGGAAGCTCATCCCCAAAGGAAAAGGTCATCCAAAGTGAGCAGTGAATTCCCTGTGCCTCCAAGTCAGCTGCCTCTGATATGCAAAACAGCCGAGTCTTCAAATGCTGCTGGGAACAGAGGGAGCTTTAAGGAGCCAAATCAAAGCCTTGGATATCTTTACTTTGAGAATTTGCTTGCACAAAATAATAACACAGCGTTTTTGCATTCCTTTTGTGTGTGGAGTCCCCTTGCCCTTGGGTGGCTCCCAGCAGCCTCCCAGGTTTATTAACCTTTCAGAAGAGTTGCAGAAAGCCAGGGAGATTCACTCGGAGACAAAACGAGGATAAGGGAGGTAATTCCAGCAGCGACTGAGCCAGGCAGTGCCGGGCTTTGAAGTGCTTTTAGAGCTGGATTGCAACTGAACTGGGAGTGGGGATTGAAAATATCAGAGGGAACTGTGCAGTGCCCACAGAGCTGCAGTTAATGACTCCCTCGAATGCAACTGGCTGGGGAAGCCTGTGGAGCCCCAAGCAGCCAGGCCTGGCAGCCCTCCTTAGGAAATGCTAATGGTTATTAATTCCTCTGGCACCCAGAGTAATCATTGCTAATGAATTCAGGATGAGCTCATTTGGCCTTAATGTGCTGGGTAATTCCAGGGGAGCCCTGTTACACTCGGCCTCGTTAAGTGCCCGTTTAGTCTGGGCCGAGGTGTTGCTGCTCTCCAGCCCCAAAGAGCAGAGAATTCATCACCAGAGTGGGGCTGGACTGTTACACAGCTCGGGCAGAGCTCAAAGGCTGCACGGAAATGCACCTGCCAAGCTCCAGAGGTGGCACAGCCCAGAGCCTGTCCCTGCTCCAGAGGGGACGTGGACATGCCTGACAAAACCAGGAAAATCTGGAGCTCACAGACATTCAGAGACAGGAACACCTGCAGGGCAGGAAGGCACAGATCCCCCCAAAATCCCATATTTTGGGGGCTCACTAAAAGAAAATTCAATTATTTTGTGTGACAACACTCCATCAGGAGAACCTTCAGTGTGTCTGGGCCTCCAGAAAAGAAATTTCCAGAAAAACAAGACAACCAAAGGATTCATCCAGGCTGCACAGGCTGGCAGGGCCTCTGTAGGAAGGGCTGGGATCCCTCTGGTGTTCCTGATGTCCAGGTGGAACCTCAGGGGACTGCTGGGGTCTGGGCTGGGAATTACACAGACAGAAAACTAAACCTGGGGAAAATGTACCTGGTACCACAACTTCTTGGGAATTTAATTCCCTCCTTTCTCCAGGATTCTTCCCTTTAATGAGTTATCCTGTAGTAAATGTTATCAGTGGTTGAATTCACTGATATCCAGTTAAATGGGATGGGGATGGACAGCAGGAATGGAAAGCTACCTTGATTTTTAACAACTAAAACAGAAGACTTGAATTTTGTTAAGCCAGTTTGGATTTGTGTATCCTGAAGAGGCACAGGAAGACTAATTTTGGCTGCTCTCAATTTGGCTCCCACAAAACTGCTCAGATGTCTTTGAAGTATCATCCTTGGATTAAAAGCCACTGTGGAATATTTTGAACTCCAATGGTTTTAGTCTAATATAGACAATAGTTCAAAGGTTGCTAAAAAAGGAAGATAAAATTCAGCTTTATCTGCAGTCTTCTGGTCAAAAATCAGAGTTAAAGCTGCTCTTTCTATGGATTTCTTATACAGAAATATATAAAGTTCTAATGAAGTGAATAACTGACAGCCCTGAAGTCAGGAATCATTGCAACTCTTCTGGACTTTTCTGAGCAAACCCCAAAGCCACCCCTTTATCTACACAGTTCATGGGCTGGGTTGTAAAGGAATTATTACTTGATAATATCTGTGTGCTTGTCCTTGCTGACACATCAGATAACAAGCTCCAAATGGAGCTTATCCTCCAGGGAATCTAATTGGGATTTCCTCACAGCCTGTGGCTTCCCACCCAGAGAAATCCTGCTGTTCCAGAGCTTTCCCTCAGCTCTGCTTCCCCAAGCTCTGTCAAAGGGAACATTCAATTCAAACACTGCTCTTTTCTTTCTCTCAGGGCACATCTGCTTTGCAGTTGACCTTTTGGTGTTCCCAAGTCCCCTCCTCTCTGTGTCACCCTCTGAAGCCTTTCCTGCTCTCCCTTGCCCTGCAGCTCACCCTGGAGAGGGCTCAGGTGGAGCAGCACCTGCCTGGAGCAGGGGACAAACCACCCCAGGAGCCAGCCAGAGAGGGATTAGATCTGGAATAATCTCCAATTATTCCAGGAGAAACCAATATTTGAGTGAATTTTCTTATGCCAGTGCAGTGTTTAGTAAGTGCCCCACTGAAAATGTTGATCCAAGACAAGTGTGCAGGGACAGAGAGAGTGTGAGAAGCAGAGAAGGATTTCTTTCCTTGAAATACAAGAAAAGCCAGTTTTCTTTGCACAGAAAGCCTCTTCTGGGCCTCAGCTCTGCTTTGATGTGTGTGATCCACAGCAACATTTCGCTGCATACTTTCAGCTCTTTGAAATTGTTTATATTGCCTTGGATACATTTATCAGGAGAAGAAAATATACTTCTGTGGCAGAGAAAATACACACATTTCACGTGCTAGTCCTTCCCCACCTCCACACCAAGCAGATCTTTGCATCTCCTTGTTCCAGGAGCTGCTTTTATTACATCTGGTGTCCCTCTTCTACAGCTTGATTTATTCCTGAGTTGCTCAGCACTAAACTGGCTCTTATTAATCAAACAACATTGATGGAAAAGTGGGAAAATGAGGCTGGGTTGGTAACAGCTGTGATTTTCTCAAACCCTGGAATAAGCCACATTTCTCTTAAAGATTCCTTCCAGAATCAGAAGAAAAATCTGGAAAACACTTCAAAATCTGAACTTCTACTTTAGTGTTGCTTTACTCCAGAGTACCAAACAACAGCTGTTTCCCTCTTAAACAATGGAAAAGCATCAGGGGCCCAAAAACCCCTAAAAAGTGTCAGATTGGTTCAGCTGATCAGAGCAGGGTGCTGAGAACACCAGGTTTGTGGGTTCAGTCCCTGTATGGGCTTAAGAGTTGATGATCCTTGTGGGTCCCTTCCAACTCAGAACATTCTGTGATCTGAAATTGGTTTATTTTTTAAAACTTGATTTTTAACCTAAACTTACCTTTTCCAGTGGCTCAGACTGGTAACATGCACAGGTCACTCTCAGGGTGCTTAAAAACTCAGAGACTGGGTAGATGCCAACTTCCCAAAATTCTGCTTCCTTGGGCACAAAATGCTCTTGCAAAATCTGCTTTTGAAAAGAATTTGCAGCCAGGAGTAACGCAGGATCCTGGCTGTCCCTGTGGCTCCCCTGGTGGTTCCAGGAGCAGCAGGATTTGTCTGGCAGCCAGGTGAGCTCACCTGTGCTGGGCCACAGCACCATCCAGTGCCAGCTCCGTGCTGCTGAGCCCTGCCCTGGGAATTCCAGGGGCAAAGCTGCAGCTCTGTCCTAAAAGGCAGGAGAGGTAAAGAAACCAAAATACCTCAGCTCTGTCTGCGTCAGAACTGGGGGTTTTGTCACATTTACAAAAAAAGGATCACAGACTGGTTTGGGTTGGAAGGACCCTGAAGATCCTCCATTTGCAACCCCCTGATGCAAAGTTTCGGGGCACAGCAAGGATTTTGAAGCTGAAGTGGGATCTGCTGTGTTTTAATCTGCATTTCTACAGAGCTTTTCTACCTGTGATCTGTACTCAGGGCCTGTTTAGATCTGGGCTTTGGGGGATTTTTATCTGCACTGTTGGCACCCAGCACTGTTTGCAAGCCAGGGCTCACTAAGACTCAAAGAGCATTTGAACCTCCTGAGCACCAACCTTTGGCTTCCTCCCCCTGCTCTCCCAAAACAAAACCTCGCAGGTTATTGGTCCTCCCTGCTGTTCTGTGCTGGCACCAGGCTGAGCCAGGGCCAAACCCAGGATCTGTTCTCCCTCCCCTCCCCAAAGCTGGAGAGCAGCTCAGGGAAGGTGTTTGGGCTGTGTGTCCCTGCAAGAGCAGCTCAGGGAAGGTGTTTGGGCTGTGTGTGTCCCTGCAAGAGCAGCTCAGGGAAGGTGTTTGGGCTGTGTGTGTCCCTGCAAGAGCAGCTCAGGGAGGGTGTTTGGGCTCTGTGTCCCTGCAAGAGCAGCTCAGGGAAGGTGTTTGGGCTGTGTGTCCCTGCAGGAAGGAGGAATTCCCCCAGGGAAGCAGGGAATGAATCCCTGCAGTGGCGCTGGCCATGGAGTGATGCT